CACTTTCCTGCAGCGCTGCAGTTTTAAATTTATGTTCTTTTAATTCAGATACGAGGTCATGCTGTGACGTATCGATCTGCCGTTGGTCACACGGTATCATGTGATGCGAATTCGCAGGCCAGAGTTCACCAAGCACAATACCTAGCCTATAGGCTATTTTGAACGGTTTCAGAAGAAAACAAGAATGAAAAATATAAGTGGCTAAAGAGGCCAAAATGAATTAGGCTAATTCAATGCGAAACTGAAAGCAAACGTCGTTCTCGTGCAGCCTACCTCTCTCATTCGGCATTAATCCAATTAAATGTGTCCATATTTGCGATGTATTTGAATGCTAAACTATTATTTATTATGTAAACCAGGCTTACTTAACGCACTTAAAAAACATCCTCGTCACATGAGCAAATGTGTGTTTGGCCCGAGCTCAGGCTGAACGGCACGGATTGTAGCCTACTACGCAGTAGGCTACGCACTATTTAAATTAAACAGTGTATCTATATGTTTGGTTGACTGTATTTTATTCTGATAATGAACAGGCTGCAATGCTGTGTGTGTGCGTGAGGCGCCGGCGCGATCGAACAGCGGAAACAAACAACAACAAAAAAAAGTGGGACAGTTTGGCTGATGCCGTCAACGCGGTGGGATCGGAAAATCGCACTGTAAATGAGCTTAAAAAGAAATGGTCCGATATAAAGGTGGAAGTTAAGCGGAGAACTTCTGCGCACCGACAAAGTGTGGGCAGAACAGGCAGTGGTACAGGGGTCGATGAACTTACACCCTTTGAGCAGAGAGTTGCCTCTATTGTGGGTGACACTTTACTCTCTGGAGTAGTATCCGTTGCGGTGGGAGACTGATTTACAGGACTGTCACGAAGGTAACTAATTTCTAATTTATTTGCTTAATTTTGGTACACATAGCTTACCAGACCGCATTTAATTTTCAAATGCATGCAATATAGCTTACCAAAAGTAGCATACACCAGAGATTTTACATATCCATGGCATTTATAGCAAATGCGTATACCCATTAATAAGGAACAGACTCAAATCACAGTTAACATGTGCCTGTGTTTATTTGGACTTATATGGTGCAACAGCAGGAACGTCCACTGGCACGCACTCGGAGTCTGCCCCTCCTGAGCAGCCAGGGCCCAGTGTGTCCAGCGTCTCCGGCGTTTCCAGTGCTCCCCCCAGTGCTGAGGCCCGTCCATCTGGCCGCGTCTTGACGCATGCTGTTCTGGAGTCACAACAGCAAATCGTTAGGGCCATCGGAGAAATTAACAGTCACCTGAAAAATATCACTGACGCACTCACAGACATAAGCCACTCATTAAAGGAATTGGT